GCCCATGAATAACCCTACTCTCTAGCTTACTTAAAAACATATCTCAGACTGAATAAGCAATAAAAATCAATTAAGAAATTTATTGGGCTTTTCATGTGAGAAAACGAGTTGCGCGACTGTTTGACTGCTTCCGGTGAGGCATGAAGTACGCGTGCCCGTCGTTGTGTCTCGAAGTGTTGGCACTTTTGTTTTAAGATGGATCTAATGAGATATACATTGAACGCAATATAAAACGCTTTTGAACCCGATGTGTTTATTCCGGCCTGTTTTCTACACTTTGTATCAAATTAATTGCCGCAACCCAGCTATGAAATGGTTTGTTTTATATCTAAGTAAGTTTCAAGCCTCGTAACATCGCGTCGTCAAATTTGTGGAAAATAATAAGTTTAAATAGAAATTTCAATTACACTCAATTTATGACTCTATTAACCTATAGCTTACTAAATCCGCCGTTCGCAGCTCTTTGTGCATTGTCTTTGTACGGGAAATATGTATGTTTTACCCTATCTTATCTTGTTATAAGCTTCATGAACGAGTCGAAATTTTGTTTCAAAAGACATGAAGCTATTATATTATTTGCACTTATACAAGCTATTAATCGTGAAAATATCGTTTCCCACCCTAGGAGATCAGATAGATCATCCAAGGAGAACAACCGATAGCAGATATGAGGTGGCGTGGACAGAGTATCTTCCCCTGGGGCCTGGCAAAGATACAATAGAAAACGCATAATAATTAAATGTTTTTGCCCAAAACGTTCATCTACTTTCTTATGGGATGTGCCAGTAAAGGTAAGGATAATCTAATCGAAAAAAGGATAGGCTGATCTAAGTCAGGGCATGGTTAACTCACAGATAGAACCCTGAAACAACCTCTTGGCTGATCAAAGTCAGGGGACAGATCACAGATTGCGGAGTGAGGAAAACCGGAGTAGCTTCAGCGAGGAAAACCGGAGTAGCTTCAGCGAGAAAAACCCTCGAATCAAGGGACAAACCTAACAAACTCTACTCACATGTGATGCCGAGCCCAGGAATCGGACCTGAGACCCCAGAGGTGAGATGCGAGTGCACTACTGCTACACCACCCTTGGTTCACTAATGTATGTGATGCTGAGTCCAGGAATCAAATCCTAGACCCCAGAGGTGAGAGGCAAGTGCACTACCACTCTGCCACCCTTGGTTCACTAATGTATATGATACTGAGTCCAGGAATCGAACCCGAGATCAAAGAGGTGAGATGCGAGTCCACTACCGCTACACAACCTTTGATACAATCTCCCACGGGGATACGCAGAGAAAAGCAACAGGGAGGAGAAAAGACTTAGAGCCTGTCCCCTTCCCCCGGGCCGCGGAAAGTTTATAAAAAAAAGGAAGAACATGCCACGGAATCATGGATGGATCCACTTACTCATCTATAATTTAGACATTATCTATTTGACTCTTCTACCCCGGGCCGCGGAAAGTTTACAAAAAAAAAGAAGAACATGCCACGGAATCATGGATGGATCCACTTACTCATCTATAATCTAGACATGATCTATTTGACTCTTTAACCTCGGTTTTCATTCCAGTTTGATTGCCGGAAATCAGTAATGACACGTTACGCCATCCCATACACTCAGGAACAGCTCCATTCTCCCAAGGAAATCCAATCCCTCGGACCTTTCTGAGTTTCTGCTTTCAAACCATGCACTGATATAGCATAATAAACAATAAAAGGGAAATAATACAGATCCGTTCCTTAAACTTGAAGGTCTTTTGGCATTATTCTTGACTTTCTTTGAGGATTTTTCCCCTGAATGTTCGACTAACTGCATATCCAGAATGCGACAATTTAACGCAATGAAAATAATACAACAGACGAGGAAAAGCCAATCATTCGGATACCTCTTTTAGGTCAGTCATTCTTACTTGCCCAAAAATATTTGTTTTTCAGTTAGGATTTTATTCTTATTTTGTTTTCTCACGACTGTACGTAAGAATAGATCTGCATTAGTGTATCGTTACTATAAACTAAAAAAGAAAGTATGGAAACCTTTTTCCTTTGATGAAAGGCATGTCTTTTAGCATTGCGGTTCCTGTCCTACAGTCGACATGATGCCTGTCTTAAAAGTCCACTTTACTATAGTATAAGTCTAGTACCCCATTCACACCTAAGCGCGTTTAGTTAAACTATGTTTTCATTAGGAAAAAAAATCGAGAACCTAGAATTAACCTACAATATAATAACTTTCTAAAATATTATCAGAGCAAGACAAAGGATAGCTTACATGCATTATTTCGCCAAAGATTGTGCAGTGTTCGTAGATTGTTTTCCAAAGCTGTTTAGTTAAACCACTTTAAAACATGTTTAAGCCTTGATGTGAATGGGGTATAGGAGGATGTTTTCCCGTTTCTCTTTCCACTTTTTAGCAATTTCTCTGAGTCCTTTAATCAATCAGTCGGTTAACCAGTGTCATGAATATTCAATTATCATGTTCCTTGTGCGAGCGAGCTCTTGTGTTCCTGATTGAACCCAATTAGTTCACTTGAGTTATAAGGAATATACAGTCCAAAAAAGTGTATTCATGCAAAAGCAGGTCCTACTCGTCAGAGTTTGATAGCCGTAAGATTACAACATCATCTTAGCATTTTAGTTTTGATTTGCCACATCGACAAGGAAATTTTGATTTTACAGTAACTGATGTCAGTATTAGTTACTGGGGGGAAAATAGAAAAGACATTTGTGAAATAGCTTATCTAAAACAGTGTTTTAGCTTTTTTGTCTGCCTCCTTCTCCTTCTCCTTCTCTTTCTCCTTCTTCTTCTCCTTCTTCTTCAGTCTTCAGTCTTCTTTACTTTTTCTCTTTTGCTTTTAACTTTTCAGTATTTTATGAGTAGGATAACTATTCCATTAATGCCTTGTCACGTCAATGAAACAAACGCGCTATCAAAACTAAATTCGAGTTCAAGTGCTTTCTGCCCTTCATATCTACCTTTCGCAACCTGGAGCAACAATAACCATTTATTATCAAAGTCGTGACAAAAACTATCAAGACATTAAACGTAGAAACCCACAACTTTAAATCCTTCCTGAAAGATCTTGGAAAGCATTTTATTAAAATAGCGGAAACATTTTAAAAAATGGTCAAAGTTCCATTAAAAAATCATAGAATCTTAGCGCCTGGCTGTAGTTTATTTGTCGTCAAAATCCAAAATGAAATTTAATTGGTGTTTGTTGACAGACAGAATGAAGTGTCTTCGATTTGTTCTGAGAGCTGCGTTTAAAATTACTCTCAACTTGAAGATTTGAGTAAAAAAATTATGAGAATATTCTTAGCAGAACTCCTAGGAAAAAACCTTAGTAAGGCTGCATTTTTTCGATGGGTTTTTGAGACTAGTGATGGGATGTTTTTGATGGCAGGCGTGATCTTCGATGATCAGGAGAACTCAGTTAACTTGCTGTAAGGTCTGTAAGGTCACAGTGTGGGACAACTACTGGGCTATGATGATGTTTGAGGCAGCTACGAAAAACGGACGATTTAGTATTTTCTGAGTAAATAGTGGTCGCGTCTAGAAAATAAATTCGTAAATAGAGGGGAAACGAAGAGCAAGGCTGCATTGCACAGAGCATTCAACGGTTGTCCACGTATGGCTCATTTTGAAAGCATTTTGAAACATCAACAACAATTAAAAATACACAAAGTTCAAGGTTAAACCTAATAAGCATGGGGAGAACGAAAAAGAAATTTAATTTGAATGGAGGTTTTAAGCTCTCAATGTTGGTCTTCAAATTAGGATCAATAAGGTCAGCGTCATAGTTCCAAGGCAAGCGAGGGCTTGCACCATGGATTCTTTCCTCGGCCTCAAGCCTGTTTTCGATGAACTAAATTTTATTAAAACAAAATCTTCTTGGATATTGGCCAATATAGCGCATTTTCATCCATGAACAACTTTGTCAACTAAACTCAAAAAAAAAAAAAAAACCACAACAGAAACAAAAATTGATAAAAAATTAAACCATGAAAAACCCTGAGCCCCAACGGATTAAAGAATCCTAAGTCTGAACAAAGAGAGATTATTGAATCGGACGTGGAGAAAGATCTGGATTATTTTCCCCGCCATTTACATAATACGTAAATGGCCTACATTATTTTTTCACTTTTTTCCCCTGGTGGTAGCGTTTCAGGACTTTATTCACTGTTTTGGCAACAAGTGTTTTTTTGTTTTTTTGTTTTTTGTTTTTTGTTTAATTCCACACGAATAACTCATTCATGGCTTTTTTTGTAATATTTAATAAATGCCGTCCTTCAAACATTCATGTTCTGAAAACTAAAATTTCGGGCCACTTATTAGGATAACTACTATAAAGATTTTTTCGATCTTGTGGCTAAGCGGATTCTGCCCTAGGGCACCTCACGCAACACGAGCTCTAAACTAAAGAGAAAATTTGTGATTACGATTTGAACTCAAATGTTCTCCAAGCCCACACAAATGGTTCCTAAATACTTCCCAAAGGCATGGCAATCATCATATTCTGGACAAGAGTACAGATCTTTTGACACTACATTGTACATGCTGACACAGAAGACATAATTCCAAGACACAGTGACGTCTAGATTTGACTGAAGGTCTTCAACTTGTAAGCTAACTGTCTGGCGAACGTTGTCATCCACTTGTAAATTAACCTGTTTACACAATATAATGAACTGTACACACATAAAGCAAAAATCTTGACTTGGTGATTAGAGTATAGTAGTAATGTCACCTTAGCGTCGTGCGTTATTACATTAAGAAAAAGTAAATAAATGGAAGTAGGTCATGATAATTAATGAAGTGGCATGGTTTTGAAAGGCTTCGAGTTTGATAATCTCTTTTCTACTATACCCCAGGGCGCCAAGCTTCTTTAATATCAGTGGGTGTGCCCTCGTTGGATTGTGACACCTTTCTCATCCCCCTGTGATAGAACAGCCCCTTTTAGATTGTTAACTTCTTGACAACTTCAAGATTTACATCTCAAAAGATCCGCAGCTCGCACGAAACCGCTGCACTTTGTTTTTCTCTCGTCATAATTACTAAGAGACTGCACATTTCTGTYATCTACATACCGCCATCTACCTGGTGTCTGCCAAGTGATTTTACCTTTCCACAGTTGATTCCCTAACACTTTTCAAGCGGCTGCCATCATTCTGTTTCCTGAGACAAGGTGACTAAGCCTGACCTTTGGGGGCAAAAACATTACCCTCCCGTTGTCACTACTCACGAGGAAAGCTATCTATTACACTGCTTACTTATAAGCTGACGGCTTGGATCGCATAGCTTCATAGTCATTCAACTGACAACCAAATACGTGCAAGAACAAACACGTAGAATGAAGATCATTGCCTTTGTAATCTTTATTGGCTTCTGCCTTTCATTTGTACCTTTTGGTAAGTATTTCTATGTGATTTCTAGATATATTTCTTGTCGCACGAGCGCGATTAATATTCGCAAACCAACATTGGCTGCTCGATCAACTTCCTCTAAATTCCCCGGCATCGTTTTCCTTGCGAAATATTGAAATTTTCACCGCTAAAGACTTCAATCTTTTTACTTTATTGGTTCATGGGGAGACACATTTACTTTAAAATTGTCGTTAGTAAGCTTAACATGCCCTTAGCTCGTGTGGTAAACTTGAACTTTGCTATCGAAAAAAGTAGGTACTGACGTTACGTTGTAACAGTGTCGCAAGCTATAGAATAATTTAAAGCTTTTGCGCGATACAGACAGGGATTTTCTTTTTCCCTTGTTTACAAATAATTCCACACTAATAAGGTTTCAAACTGTGTTCCTGGAGTATCTAAGCGTTATTTTTTGCCGTAAAGAAACTAAGTGCGTCTTGGTGACGGATCAAATTCGAAAATACTTTTGTTTATATTTCAAGCAAATCTTTATATAATACAAGTTCACTTGAGCCGGTAATGGTTTAGTGTTCGTAGGGATACGCTCACTTGCGCTACGACACATCGTTTTTACAAGCAACCATGGCCACACTGAGAGCTTTTATGTAGTATTTATATACGTCGCTTTAAATGTCATCGTTTAAGCGCAGTAGAAATCGCTAAAGGTAACATCCAGGGTCAATGACGAGCGATTACACAGTTTTCATAAGGGAAAATCAAATTGATTTGTTTGTCCAAAGGAGACTCTTTGTAATTCAGTTAATCAACGACAAGAATCGTTCATAATCTCGTAGAAAAACACACAATCGATAAAAGAAACTTCACTGACAAGACTGTTGTCTCCAGCGTTATCGAGTTGGAGTCAGAACGTATCTTGTCCTGCTTTAATCAATTGACCACAACTCAATTCCACTCAAAATACCTCGCCACCAAAGCTCATTTTACTAGCCGATGTTCTTTGTTGTATTTGAAATTTTCGTTATTAGAGGAAATGATACCGTCAACTCATAAAAAAATCCAACAGACGTGTGAATTTTCTTAGCAAACCGGGCTCAAAAGCGGCGCCATTTTGAATTACTCATGATATCTGGCTGATCATTTGAGCCCAGTGGACTGACTGCCGGCTTTTGCGAGTTATGAAAGGTTCAGTGTCTTTTGTCAGGGTTTGAGAATGCGCAGTCCTTGTTGATAGGCCGAACTGGATGACAGGATTGGTGATAAGTGTGATGGCTTTATCAAATAGGTAATGACCGCCTAAATGAAAAAGATGCCTCCATTATGACATCCTGTTCATCGGGCTGTTTCTGTATTAGTAGTATTAAAAAAGCCCTTTTGGCCAAAAAGACACTGCAAAGCTTTCGGGAAAAATCCCAATTGAATTATTAATACATAGCTTACCAAGATGATAAACTTAATGTGCCTTGGCTGTTTCCCTATCAGACGTAATTATACAACATTTCTTAATTACTTTTGTGAAGATAAGAAATCGATTCTTGCGTTGGTAAGATGCATCAAGGCTTTAAAATGAACGAATTGGTAAATACGTACAGACTCATTCCCCGGGTAAAAACGTACTAAGTCTGTTCTCTTATTTGAAAAGGATTTTTGCTCCCAAAAGGAAAGCCTTTCTTGAAATAAATCCCAGATATAAGATTGAGCGTTTTGGTTGATTGTGATAGGATTCATTTGGTTCTTTGACCTCGTCTAATAGGACGTGTTTCAATGCGGTGGGTATATCGCCAAACTGTAGACGCCATCACCATGCTCTTCATGCTGCGTGATATGGTTCTGATAAAAGCCGGGGATAAAAGCCTTGTTCATCCTAATGAGAGCACCTGTGAATCATTTTTACTTTGTCTTTTCGGCCGACACGACTAAATTTATCCCAAATTGACGTTCATCAGCGAGACGTTAGTCGCTCAATGATGCCCATCAAAGGGTAATTTGCCGAAACTGTTCTTCTTGTTTTACTGATATGATTTGGCAGAACCATGGCGAGAAGATGTGTTTTCCATTTGTTCCATGTGTGGCTGGAGCTGGCTGAGAGGTGACAGAAAACCCGTCTGCATCTTATCCTTGTGATAGCTTCAAGTAGAAATCAAAAAGGGATGTTAAATATTTATTTTTTTCAAGTTGTCCGTGGTTTCTTTTCGAACTGAATCACCTTTTGTGCCTCTTTAATGTTTTAAGAGTTCGTTTTGTGTGTGTGTGTGTGTGTGTTTTTTGTTTTTGTTTTTTTGTTTTGCTTGTACGATGCTACAGGGCCACTTAGGAAAAAATCCTTCGAGACATAATTGATAAATGCTATAAAAGATAAATAAAAATTAATATAAATTATGAATTCTTCAGATAATGCAATAGTCAATTGAACTAGCCCCCCGATCCCCGGGACAGGGCGGGAAATTAACGCGGCGAAACCGGGGATTTTAACGCACAATTCAACAGTTTCAAAATTTTAGCAGCAACTACTACAATAACTTTACGGCAGCAATTTCCAGGGGACTGGAATTTCCCGGGTACTGGGGAAATTGGTAAATTTAACACTACATGAATGCTTAATTCCCCGCCCTTTGCCGGGGGTCTGGGGTTTGGGGCTTCATTCAAAGTAAAAATACGTTTTCTTCGTTGTTGATTCTCATTGGAAATGAATCGATTTTAACACGAAATTTCTTCTTTCTCTTGTGTAGTCGAACTTGCTTAAAGGAAATTTTTAAAATCCGAAAAACGAYACTCGGATCGATAAGACACCAAGACGATTGAACACATCAAGACATTCAATAAATATAATCAAAGTAAGGATTTTATCGTCCTATCCCATCTGATAATCTCAACCAACGATCACCCATCCATACGCCAAGCCGGGACAGTATTCTTCGCTCACTCCTTATTGCAGACAGAAAAGAACCTTTGGTTTCTCGAATCAATGATTCATGATTGGAACAAGAAAGAATTTAATTAGAGATTTTGACTTGATTGTTTTGTCGAGTGTTTTTGTGCTATGCGAGATCTGATACCACGATGAAGATCTGATGTCACGATGAAGACACTTCGGCTCCGTGATGAGCCAAGATGGAAAAATAAAGGTTTGGCTCCTCCTTTTAGCCTCCATAATGGATTACTCAATCGCTTTCAGTGAAATCATTCTGAAACTAATATTTTTAGGATYAATCTTGAATACGATTTGTCTCAGTTTCGTTGCTCAGGGGAGGCGAATGACTCTGTACACGTGTCACCCTTGGTTCGTGAGAAGACTGTACAACAACAACAACTTTTATTTATCTAAGATTAAAGCGTTTCTTCTAAAGCTTGGATATTTAAAAAATATCAAATTACACGCAGAAGAAACGTTTTAATTTTTGATAAATATGACACCTACGCACAACATACAGTAAAAACCCGCGAGTAAGAACCTGAAAGTAAGAACCTGTTAGCCTCAAATTTGTCATGTATACCCCCTTTAAACAAGAACCTATTTAGCCTAGAAAATGCAACCTAGTTTATTTGCACCTTTTTCGGCACTCTCAGAAAAGCCGTGATGCCGCCCGATGAAGGGAAAACAGGCAATGTACGATACTACAAGGGAATGCTTGCCGAGATATTATCCGCGAAACGCTGGCTCCCAAAACGCGGCTGCCATTTCTGGTTATATGGCACAGAATTAATATCCTTCCTTGCGAGTTCATTCTGAAGTTTTTGATCCTTTTTGATTAAGATATCTTGCCTGAAGTAGCAGAAGAGAGTTGATGATTAAATGGAAATTTTACCAATCCAAATTAACTTGGCGGCCCAGTCTATAAAAGCCATTAACACYGAGTCTTGGCTCTTATGGACCGGGATTGATGCTCAAGGGATTAACGCGACGAATCTCTTCTGTGTCAAGTGCTTATATCAATAAAACTTGCTACCAATTATTTCAGGCTGTGTAAAGTAGATAGGAGATATCGGTGTTGACAAATGAACGAGAACTTTTATTTTGTAACGTTGTTAGCAATATTTCTGGGCGGGTTTATTTTGTCCGTAATATCAAGACACTGCTTACATGATATCGGGTAAAGTCAAGTAAAACAAACTCTAAGAGAATCCCTAGCGTTTGGGTTCATTCTGCCTTTGTGTAAAACGGAGCCCTATTCGAGATGGATTCTTTTTATAGGAGTAGTAATCTCAATAAGTCTCCTTTTTTTTCTCTTGCTATATACTTTTTTCTAATGAAACTTCAGACACGGAATCAGTTTATCTACAAGTAACTGGTTTTGTTTTCAAGAAAGGAGTAGACCTATAGACTAGGTCAGAAACAATCAATGTCGAATTAGGAAAAGGAGATTGACATACTACCACGCCTACTAGCCGCATGTTTACCGATGGTTTTCTTGCTGCTAGTCAGAGCCAAAATTTATAGGATTAAAACGCACGCCTTTTCATGCTTTATATTTCTATAATGCATATATATCTTTTGTTAAGTCAATAGCCTCATGCATCAATTATACCACTTAAATATTTCTATAATTCATACATATCTATTAGTTAATTATATCACTTAAAGCTCTAAATATTCGTAAAAGCGATGCCGTGAATATTGTGATAGAAACGGGTTTTTCATTTTGTCTACCTTTGAAAACTTCAAAGCGAAAAAAAACTAGCCCATACGAAGAAAATCTTCCAAAGTACTTGTCTAATTATAACTATCAATTGGCAATCTCGTCGCGGTTTCTTCAAAGGTCCGTGCGAATTTCAAAGAAAACGAGTGTCGTGGTTGTGATCTCTATTTGTTTCATATCTGTACATTGATCTACTAACAATTAAAAAGAACGCCTCGTTGATTTGAGGGTTAATTGAAAGTTGTATTCTGCGGTCACACGTCATTAGTAAGCCACGTCCAACCTAGATCAATGATAATCATGGGTTGCCTGTATCATTCACAGATGCCTAGTACAGCTGAAGAGGTTTGCAATTTTAGCCAAAAGATAATAAAATGTTTCACAGAAAAGAATGTTTTCGTTTAACTCGTGTAAGGCGATCTTCTCCCTTAAGGTGTTCTATACAGGATATTAAAATAAGTGCACGTTCTGCCCTTTCTTAGGCTATAAAATAAACAGTTTTGCGTTATGCATGTCACACTACTTGGAATTTGATCTTGCGCCATGACGCAATAACATCAAATATCCTAATGTTCTCAGTCAGAATCATCAATTAATTTTCTTTTCTTTTTACCATCCTTTGTTATTATATTATCTACTGGGGTGGCTGTTTATTTTCCTTGTCAGAAAATGCAGAAGTACCCAGAAGTCTTCACGGCACCACCCACTGATCCTTTGCGGGCAAACTCAAGAAAGCACAGCTCTACTTTTTGCGGATCGATATCGCCTGTATGACTGATAACGTCTGATCAAACTTATACAGGCTTATAAGCAACCGAATGGGAATAAATCTTTTTTCACTAAAATGATTAAGTTATTGTTGAAGATTTAAATCTAATTAAAAAAATGGATTAAAAAAAAGAAAGATCTTATGTGGATAAGATGAGATTCGTACCCACCAAAAGAAATTCAAAAATACGACTCCACTTTGGCTGAGGCGGCGTATGGACTTCGGACCTGACGGCGATTAAATCCTTCTGCCCTTGTGTGTACGAATTACGCAAGAAAATGTTCTAGCCAAAGCATCAGGGGAGAGACTAGCCGGCCGCCAGACCATATCGGCTAATCCCTTGCATCTCTGCCACGCACGGAATCGGTTGAAAATATAATGTTAAAAAGTCTAGTCTATTCGGTGCATTGTTTTTTCAGRGCTATTGTTATGCTGATTTACCTGGAACCGTGGTCCAGTGGATAAATGCGTTGTTGTTTAAGATACTGAGTCAAGGCCGTGTGAGGAGGGTTAGCACTTGGATGGGTGACCGAAACATTATACCTACTCACGCTTTTGCTCCTTTTTTTCGTTTTTCTTTTTTGTTTTTTACAGTGTGTAAAATAATAGTATATAGAATAGTGAAACGAGTAATTCCTAATCCTGCACTGAACCTTGGATTTCAGCAACTAACGAAAAAAAGAATATGCATCTAGACATTCATTTCGGAATTTCCGATACGTGATTCGAAGCTCCACCCCCAATCAATCACTTTGATAAATTATAAATCGATTGGCAACTGTCACTTGAATATAAATCAGACTTCACACGGGATGTCTATATCATATGTCCGCAAAGGACTCTTGGGTAGTGTCGTGAAGACCCCTGGGTACTATTGGGCAATTTTGGCATTTTCTGACGCAGGAAAATGCGCAGACACACRACCCATTTTAGGCTGGGCTGCCACAGGCAACCCAGTAATAACCGAGTTCTAACGCGCACTCTGATTGGTTTATGCTCACTCTTTTTCCGCGCGCACGCCCTGAATTTATTTTTAGTAGGAATTTTACAAGAGTGTGCTTTAGAAGCGCGAGTGCGCTTAGCAGAAATCCAGCATTTTGAGAAATCGGGTATGGGTTCCTTTCCTTAACTGCCGGAGTTAAAAAAACAAGAAAAGAAAGGAAAGGAAAGGAAAGGAAGGGAGGAAAGGAAAAAACTTGAGAACTGAGACACAGAAGATATTCTTTGGTTCCCAAAAGTACCGTAAGAATGAAATCATGGATACCGACTGGATTTTCAAGATTCCGACATGTGCAATGTAGCTTACGTTTCCTTGTCTTTTTCCTTCCGCAGTTATCTCCATCAAATGTATCATGTGCGATCCTGATTACGAGGCGACGGAGTGCAAAGAAACATATATCGATTGCAGTAAGGATGAGGAATTGGGGAAAGCGTTCGATTCTTGCTTCGCGTACCAAATGGTAATTGAGAGTCCCGACGGATCGAACTTTACGCACCTAGACAAGAACTGCAGCATTAGCGAAGGCTGTGACGATCTCAAAAATGTGATGTGTGATAGCACGAATCATACTTTAGAAGGAGCTGTTCAAAGCTGTGACATTCTTTGCTGCGAGGGTGATTACTGTAATCTTGGAGAATCAAAGTTCACAAAGCGACCGGATACTTCGACCCACACTCGTGCGACGACACAACATAATACCGATGTACTGGGATACAGGTCGACTGCATCAAGGCATACAGGAGACAAATGGAAATTAGTTTTCGGGATTTTTTGTCCTGTGATTTATTCCATCGTGAGTCGTACTCTACTTTGAAAAAAAATAAATCTGGATCTTCAATGTCGTGGCAGCCATCTTGAATACAAGGTTCAAGGAATTCTGGGTAACCGAACAACGGCCATATTGGATTGGAGAATGAGGAATTATGGGTAACTATATGCCTTTTTTAATAGACCTTATTCGTGGCGTGACAATGTTTTCCCAATTCAGTGTGACAAACCTCAAGAGGATTCATTTTCCTTTGTTTTTATTCTTCAAAAAATTTGTGAGTATCCCAAAGGATACTAAAGGAATAACGATGATATCACGACGAGTTTCAAAACAATAGCTGTTCATTCCCCCAGAGGTTTGTCACGCTGAATTGGGAAAATATTGTCACACCACGAATAAGGTCTATTTAGTTAAATGCTGAGGAATATTCGCCATATTGAGTTGAATGCTCTTGGAAAAGGTCCGCCATCTTGAATTCAGGGCTCAAGGAATCGTTGATATTTTGTGTGTTTAATCTTGACTTGTATTTGACGATACGGCGGCCCTCTTAGATCTAAAAGCATTACGGGGCGTCCAGGGGGAAAATATAAAGCTAATGTGAAGCTTGGATGATGATATATATATTTTTATATAGCCTTTCATCGCTACAGCCAAAGACAGCACATCGATCACCTTTACCTATGAAAGAAAGACAAGCACACAAACGTTTTATATTATCCGCCATCTTTGTTTTGTTTCTTGCCCAATAATGCCTTACGATCAAAGATGGCCAACGCACCGTCGAAGTAGTCCATTATCTTCCAGTCTTAGAAACTACTTGTCGTTGAAGTTACCGTGAAACGACCCTTTCACTTAATTCTTTCTAATTTCAGCTCACGTGTCATTCCTATCGCTTATCTAAAGAATCACTTATTGTGAAGTAAATGACACGTGGTCTGAATGGAGAAACATTGCATTAGACATAAAGAGGAGAGGTATATCATCGGGAAAGCAAAATTGAAGCTATCGACCATAGAAGCTGTGTATGTAAACTATAGACCTACTTTGTGCATGGTTTTCCCATTTCAGACCGCGTGTCGTTCCTTAGAGTATCATTTCTTTGTTAACGGTTTCGCATGAGAAGAGACGCGAATAATTAAACGAACAATCGTATTCTTGAGAGAATGACACGTGGTCTGAAATGATGAAAACAAAACGCCCAAGGTAAAGAGGCCTATTGATAAAGTTGGGTTACAAATTGCTTGCCTGACTATCATATTGGGTGCAAATTCCGTGATTTTGATATCGGTTGCAACTCGCTTGCTTGGTTGTTACTTTCGTTGCAAATTCCTTGCGTGACTGATTCATGGGTTGCAAGTTGCTTGCGTTATTTTTACGTTAGTTGCAACTTGATTGCGTGACTGTTATATTAGTCACAACTTTCTTGCGTTACTGTTACGTAAGCCACAACATTTTTACGTTACTGTTTGTGATATTGAAAATTGTTGAGAACATCGCTTTATTTTTTGAGCGTGATACATCACATTAATACGACACTTTTCGTTATTTTTGGATGAAATTATATTCGTATAAAGGTTTTGCACCACCACGTGACGGCAGCCATGTTAGATGGCAGGAACAGTACAATCGTTTTACGAATTCAACGAGAGCACAGGGATTTTATTGTTCTCCCATCTAACCACAGGCAACCCAAGCTGTACGTACGGGCGCCGGCACGTGATGGTGCAATACCTCTTTTCTATTTCCTTTCACTGCTTCTTCATGATTGGTTAATTCTCAGTATATCATCTTTGACTTTCATAACATAAAGAGGGTTTGTATTGGTTTATAAACCATTCGCGTCAGTGATAAATAAACGCTCCTCTTCTGTGATAGGCCACTAAAATATCAGTGTAAAGGAATAGAAGATAGGGGAGGGGAGGCACATTCTTTAAATTGGCTGTTTTTGTATGATTATGAGGGTGTGATAATATTCTCAAAGCGCACTTTGATGGTATATTATTCAATTATTATTTATATATCATATATACGACTTACTTCACATGAAATACCTAGTATATTGGTCTTAAGATGCTTTACAGCTCACTTGATCAGTTTACGTCATATTATTGTTGGCAAATGTGACATACGCACTCTGTGTTCCTGCGTTCCATTTACAACGGCTCGAGTTATCAAATCTTTGATTCATAGTAGCCGAAAAGTCAATGTCTAGAAGAAGAGAAGGCTAAAGAAACGTAAAAAGGGTATAATAATAAAGTTTATTATGGATTTTTAAAAGTTTAAGTGAGGAGCAAATGTGCTACGTTCAATATGGCGGAAGGTGATCACATGACCAGTTACTACAAAGTGGGATATGTTCAGGAATATGTTCAGTCAGTGCTAAGGAAACCGGTTTTTATTCGGTAGAGGTGGGATGGATGAATGGCGTAAATAGACAGAGAGCTACTATGAAGGGGTAGGAAGGAATATGTGAGAGGAAATGGAGGCCAACCGTGCAAAAAGTGCAGGGAAAGTTTCACTCTCTAAACAATGTCTGGTCCTCCTTTCATCGGGCTGCCATCACGTGATGGTACAAAGCCGCTATTGCTTGAAAATTTTACCGGATAAAAAAGGGCCAACATCTGGTGTCAATGGGTATTCCAATATACCTAATTACCATGTTCCCATTTCAGACCGTATGTCATTCCCTTGAGTATCATTTCTTTTGTTCGCCAGTAGTAACACTCGAAGAAAACACGGTATGGATGACACTGAAACATTTTTTTGGGAGCGACTTGATACGAAACGGGAAGATGGTGATTAGGTCAATCGTATCATGGCGCAGAGTAAATATATCTATATAGAAACAAAGCTATTATGACTATACCAATATATCCAAATATTGATTATAAACAATTGTAAAAAAAAGAGATGTATAATTACGATATTTGATACAAAGTAATTTAATTGTTGATATTTTTGACAATAAATACGTTGTAAATATATTTGTAAAAAACTGAAGACTTTGTGAGACTGCCGCTGACCAGTCATGACGGAAGTGGCTAATTTTGTATATTATATTATTGATGATAATGTTGCCGAAGTAAAGTTGGTTTGAGTTTAAAATGGTTTGATATTTATATTCGGAACTTGAAAATGCAATCTAGGAACTTAGATATATATTACGAACATGGGAAAAATGTGGGTTTTTTTTCTCGATGCGCGGGCGTAGAGTGATCCCTAGTCCTCAGACAAAATATGATCAAAGGTAGCTACTCTAGCTACGTAGTAATGAATTATAGATTAAGAACATATTTATTAATAACCCCCTGAAGCCAAAATATATAGCTGTTGTTGGCGCTTCCATTCCGCTCATTGTCTACTAAGACTAATCTTCTCCGGACTAGCTGTCGGCAAAGTAATTTCAATTTCTTGTGATATAAACCGCTTATTACGTGCTTGCTTGAAGCTCTCACAACATACGTTTCTATATGTAGTTTCTTTGAGTGGTAAGTGGAACTACTTGGATAAGCTTCTTAACTATTAGGAGAAGCGACTTCCTCGATACAAGGCCCTCACGAATAAATAGGAATTGTAGCACCTGCTGATGGAAATTCTGTTGATTTGGCGGGAACATTTTTGGCGCCCAAACACGTACGCGCGCACTGAACTTTGAAAAATAGAAACATATCTGCTAAATTCTCACATGCCAATGGGACCAACAGCCATCAAAAGCAGTAACCAAAATTATTCAGCCAATCACACACACAGCTGGGTAACATATTAGTGCTTACTCAATCGTTGGCTCGGGCACCACGTAAAATAACGGTTTGTTTCACGTAGAGACGTCATGCAAAGACGTCACTAGTTTGGCTAGTCGCAACAATCACAACACACACTCTTACTGTGAAGAAAGGAATCTTTTTTTTTTTTTTTTTTTTTGATGAAAGTCATACAAAATTCATTTTTTGTCGTCAAATGGTTGTTATTGTTGTTGTTGTTCTTCTTCTTCTCCATTTTCTTCTTTTTGTCCCATCTTCTTCTTCATCCTCTCTAAATACCCGACTCCAACAAAAATACAATTATTTCAAGATGATTGTTACGTAATCTATCAATTCTCCAGGTTAGAAGTAACTTTATATGCACCTATCTTTTATCAGCTTTTTTGGAACAAACGCGGTTTGTTTAAACCATCTCAATAACGGAGTCCCGGACGCCCTACTGCGTCCCAAACCTTAGGCACACTAAGATTCCAAGGCAACAAGCTAGTTAACGCTTCTTGTTCGCATAACGGTGGTAGAGCAGTAAAATTACTATCGATACTTCATCATTCCCAAAGCTAGGACTTGATGAAACTGCCAATTAATGCTGTTTACTAAAGAGAGGTGTTTTATATTTTAGTATGCGTTATTAGAAATACTGGTTTATATAATAATAACCTCTGCGTGGGGTCTCACGTACAGATTTTTTCCATCAGATACGATGAAGATTAAAATACCACAGAAGAAAGCTAAAAATGCCGAAGAAAAATTTATTAGTGGAAACTTTTTAAGTGCATGGAATCAAAAGTTTTAGTGAAAGTACAATCTAATCATGTCGTATATAAATGGTGTTAAAAGAGAGGTTGGAGGCAGATGGTTTCTAGATAATAATATGCTTAATTACTTTCCATTAAGCCCCACCTTAGTTCGTAAAAATGCTGGGAGTTAAGCCTTGAACCTCTATTAAGCGGTCACCCTCGGGAAGTAGTCAAGTGACCGCTTAAAAGAGGTTTAACTGTACTAAAAGTATAATAATTACAGGAGGTCAATAGTCATGCACAAGTCCTTTTTTCCTGTAAAAAAACTATATGTCGTAACCTGTCTATATCGAGGGTGGTCAGTTATAAAGGCTGGAATGGTCTTGAAGGAAGAAGTTGTGGTGTGGTCGTTTATACAGGTGGGAACTAACGAGTCCAAAGTGCTCTACTGATGTTTCGCATAACCTGCCTAAACCGAGCGTCGTCTCTTACCGGTTGGACCATTGTTGCCAGAAAGATGGAAAAATGTGTAAAAAACGAAATTATCTGGACGTTAAACCTTTGCTGTTATTTATTTAAAAGATACCGACAGAAAACAATTTCAGATATCATATTGAAATTAAACAGTAAAACACTAGACGATATTTTTTAATTCCTAGGGTTATTTAAACTGGAAATTTGGCAGCTTGGAAGGTACCAGTATTCAAGGCTGACAGGTTGAATGAACTCCGTACTCCTAAGGCTTCAAATACTGACCAATAGGAAAAGACCTGCATCGCTTTGGATAATTTTTTAGCGCTTACGCGTCGATTTGGCAATGAAATATTTGGCAGACAGATAATCGTACAACCAGGTAGAAAAATGTAAATAAAATAAGATATGCAAACTCAGCTGAGCAGTTTAAATAATTCTGTGATAAACTTATTGCGTTTATGTTTTTTTTCATGGCAGACTTGGCTTTTAATATTAGTTTTAGCTAACGTGATTATATCGAAAACAGGAAGGGAAAAATTAATATTCCTAAATATGTTTTTGCGTTTCTTTTGATTGCAAGGAATTATTGAAATACAAAAATATTGTTCTAACGAGAAAGGATTAGTCATGGAATGACAAATTCCTTGGCATGTTTTGGCACTCCTTTTTTTGCGCACAAGCTAGAATTCTGACTTATCTTGGCCGACTAACCAAACTCGTTCGATGATTGGTTGGTTCCTTAATATTAACATACATGGTAAGCTTCCGGAGTATCATTATCACAAYTCCTAGCCACTGTTCAAATTCGTCTGGGTCTGACTGGAAGAGGAATATTCTTGAAAAAAGCTCATTTTCTAGGAATATTCATTCAGGTTTTTGAAACACAAGCTCAATTCACGATGAAGATTCTCCTGTTGCTTGCAATTTTCTATTTCTTCTCGACCAAAGGTAAGTTCATTTACGAGAATTTCCCCTTTTAAAACGTAATTAAAAACGTAAAAAATATATGCCCACTTGCCCTGAATTCATTTTTTTTGCTTCGCGAATGAAAGCTCCTCTATCCATTTTAGCATTATCGACGAATATATAAAATGAATAGATATTTGAAATACCAAAACTATACCCCGATTTGTTTGTTGCTACCTCAAGGGGTTCGCTATTCTACATTTGTTTGATCGAGCAGCGTGAAAATATATCTTAATCCTCCCATTTTCTCCCCTAAAAACAACTTTAAAACGATTGCGTCTTTTAAAGCTATCTATTAAACCGCTCTACAACTGTGACTTTAGTAAAAATTGGCAAGAAAAGCCGAACACCCAGCTACCGGATTTCATGCTACGCCCTGTATGAGATTAGTCATCATGCACAACTCCATTCCGTATGAATCGAATATTTAGTAATTAAATACAATATGCACGGCTCTTGAGGTTGAAAATATCACGGAACCCCAACCTGAAGTGGGTTAGCATTAGTTTTCGGCCAGAAAGGTGAATTTGTAAGCTATAAACTTTATTCTAGTAGAATCGGTCAAAGAGCTAATCTTGTGCGCATTTGACTCGAATCAATCAGCTTTCTTCACCCACACTCTACATTTTACTACACAATCATAACTTGGTGTTTAGCTGTCATAAAAAACAATTTTTAAGATCAAGTATTTCGAGGTCTTGACTCTTGCAAGTAGTAATTTATTTACATGATTTTTTGTGGCTTCGTTTTGTTTGCCGATCACCAACCACCGAATCAACAAAAATATAGTATATATATATATATAATTTTCTCGAAAGATAAATAAAAATAAATTAACCCGTTGAATTCCAAAATATCACATTTATCAAAATTGACATTTTTTTCACTAAAGACCTTTCATCTTTATTCAGTCGACACGAAAAAAAAATTTTCAATATTTTTTAAATATACCAAAATTTTTACTGAAATCCATATTTTTGAGATGGCGGTAGTTTTATGTATTTTCTAATCTGTTAATTTAGATAAGTTATTTAAATCTATCCTTGGGGTTTTTCTAATGAGTTTAGTAAGCTTAAACTAAAATACACTAACGTCATCAGTCATAATATCTCTCTCTCTAGCTTCCACCGCGTTTCGGCGAAAAAATATTCAAATATCAATGCCGACAAAAACAGATATAAATACCTGAAAAATATATGAATGCATATAATAATAATAACTAGATACTGATTAAAAAATTACATAAATATGGATGAAAAATATTTTGACAAAATAGATAAGAAAAATTGAATTTGCAAAGATTAAGTTACTATCACGGTAGGATTGTACACATTTTTGAAAGTCAGGTAAGAAGATTTGGAATTGATAGAAGTACCAATATTATCGGAAAAGGATACCCAAGGAAAATTAGCAAAATTAGTAGCGGATATAAGATTTTTTTTTCTTAATTTCAAAATGCTGCACCGATATCGTTGTTTGTGGAATACAATAAATAAACTGTCAATAACCATTTTATAATTGCTTTTTCATAGTCAACTATTCTTTTGTCGTTGAATCCATAAATATGATCAGTGAAAATAAATTCAAATTTCTATTTCTGGAGATACGATAATTTGTTATCGTTTGTTTGTCATTTTTCTTATCTCTTTTCTAATGTTAAATAAACTTTCAAAATGATATCTATCGGGGATATCATATCCTTGTGTGTGCGTAGGTTTTATTTTTTTCAAATATCTCACTTAAAATAATTTTAACCCGATATGCAGCACAAACCAGCTTTTAGCCTTTTAAATCTTTTAAGTTCCTCGTAGGAAGTATGTACTTGTGTTTATTTAAGGATAGTCAGTTTTATTTTATTTATGGTTTGGAGGTCTATGTATTTCTTTAAAATCCCTTTTATTTCAGTGTCTAGTCGTTCGAGCGCTAATTTCACACTAATTGGAGACACTTTTCGCTCACACGCACTACCACTACATTAAATGTTCTATGCACACAACGCTGAACTCACATGTTGATTTTTACGGAGGGAGGAAACCGGAGAACCCGGAGAAAACCCTCGTAGCATAGGAGAGAACAACACATCAAACAAACTCAATTCACATGTGGCGACCGCAGGGCTCGAACCAGCGACCCGACCCGTTGAACTCACAGCGGTGAAAGACGACGCGTTGCCTTGGAACCCCTCTCTCCTCTTCCTTTATTCCATTATTCATTAATTTGCTCATTTATTTATTCATTCGCTCACTCATTTATTTATTCGTTGTTTTCGTTCTTTTCACTCATCCAGCCCCTAAATATGCGGCGGAGGTGCACTTACTAACTCACTCATTTGACGTTCGTTTGTTCGGTCATTCATTAATTCGTTCTTTCGTTTCTACTTCGTCTCCTTCTTCGTTCGTTCTTCGTTTGTTCTTCGTTCGTTCGGTCACTCATGAAGAAATAGAAAACGCGCGCGCGTGCTGTGTGCTGTCATAAAGCACGCGCTCAAAACCAATCAGAACGCGACATTTATAACAGTTATTTTATAATTTGGTATGGTTCTCTACTCTTGTCTTTTTTTTTTCTCCCTCGAGACACTACAAGTGTTTACTAGATATAATGCCTGTGGCCCCACGTCAATCCATTAGGTTAAGTGATATACTAGACAAGAATCTGCATCGACACTCAAGGTTTTTTAGGTGTGTTTATATTTTTTGCGGCTTTTGGCTCGAGGGCCTATAAACATTATAGCGGAGATTAATTGCTTTGGATCAGTGGCTAGTTAGTTTATTTCCAAGAACGTGGTTTTAAGAGGGGTTTTGTTCCAAAACATTTTTCGAGTTGTGCTATTACACTTTTTCATTTTGGGATTGAACTTTTTTCGTTTGGTTGAAAGAACCAAAAAAATCCCAACTGATTTATGAATTATATAGCGCCCTTTCTATATAGATAATGGAAGGCGCTTACAAACATGTGGATAGTAAACAAACAAACAAACAAACAAACAAACAAACAAACAAACAAATATACAGACAGACAGACAGACAGAAGACAGGCAGGCAGACAGACAGACAGACAGACAGACAGACGGACGGACGGACGGACAAATAAACTTAATTTGAGCTACGTGACAAGGCTACAGTAAATCATGGTAATTCGACAACCTTGAAACATTCGCGAAATAGAACTAAATGTCATGTTTTAAAGACCAACAATATATTATCTAAATTACTTCGTATATATTCTGTTATGTAATTACGTATTATTTTTATTATTATTTTCCCGGCATTATTTTAGGCGAATTATCCAGCTACATCACTTCCTTGCCTGCCTCATCGAGCTCTTCCCTTCCTGCTGCTTCTACTACTGCTCCTGTTACTACTACTCCTCCTGTTACTACTACTACTACTGTCACTAGTTCTGCTCCTGTCACTACTACTACTTCCGCCAATATTGCTCCCTCCACTACTAGTGTACCCCCCACCGCCTCCACCACCTTAGCAACAGCAACAGCAACAGCAGCGGCAACGACGACCCAGCTGGCAGAAAAAACTACTCAATCAGTGTCTAGTACCTCTAGTGTAGCCCCCGCTCCTACAGCAAGTACTATGAAGACAGTAGTAAGTTCCAAGACAACTAATACTACTAATACCACAGCTTCAACAACGCCCTCAAGTGTAACTCCAAAGACACCAAATTCTGGGAATCTTGTGAAGAATGTTAATGGTTTATTTTTGGCCATGGTAATGACTTGTTTTCTTGCCAATATGATTTAGAAGAATGACGTCAAATATGAGCTAAGAAAGCTGATACCTTAATATTAAAACGCTTGAATCTTAAGGTTGTCTTAAGACTCTGTTCGGAATAATTACGGAGAAAGTTTTTGGTTTGCGTGACATGTGCTGCTGTGACATATTGCGTAACATAACATCGTGCGTGACTCAAATCTTCAAGGATAACGTAATGTTTTACGCAAGTAACTTGTTCGGCTAGTAAAGACGTGACGTGAATGGCAATGAACTAGAAGCTTGGATATGATATGATATTGGCTCAACTATAACGTGACAACCAATTTGGAGACACCATAAATAGACCAATGATGTGACGTGAATTTGGCCGAAGTGTTATTTTTGTGACGCGTGACAGATTTTATCGGATGTTACAGACATTAGTTTCAGAAACAGCAAGTATAAGAAAGGAATGAGTTCTCTTAGCCCATTATTTTCAGAAATAAGACCAACGTCAAAACAACTACGCTACTCTAAATTTTCTACTGTTTTGATTTGAAATGGTA